CTGCGGCTCCTGCTGCTGTCGCCGCAGGAAGGGGTGCGCGCCGCGCAGCCGCAGGCCCCGTGAGTAGTCCCGGGAGAGAGAGGAGGCCGGCCGCCTTCTCGGGGTGGGGGTCGCGGGCACTGGCTCAGAGACATGCAGCGACCTGTTCAAGGCCACACAGCCTCCGCGCTGGGCAGGACCTTGAGTCTTGCCCCAGACCCCCACGGGTCCGACTGGGAAGGGGGCACCCTGAGGCTTCAGAAGTGGCCCCTTGGCGGTATAGGGACTCCCCAGAGCTAAGGCTACTAGGCCACCTCTACCCCCACCTCGCCCCCGTGGGGTGATCGGGGCTGTCGGCTTGGGTGGCGATTTCGAGTTGTCCGTGGCATGAAGGTAAGAGGTGCGTGTCTTGGCTGAGAAGTGGGAGGAGAGACCTACCATTCCGTTTTCCTTGGCAGGGGGTGGGGTGTGGGGGGGAGGAAATGATTGTTTTGTTTCCACATTTTTCTTGAAGTTTGCTTACAGAGCTTCTGACAGGTTGTCACCATGATGGGGTGAATTAACTAGCTGCTTAGGAGAATTTCCCATGAGGTGGCTTCATGGGGAATATTTCCAGACCTGCCAAGTTCGGGGGAACCCTGCAGGGCTGTGGGTTCGCGGGGCGGCCTCCAGCTGCTCACGCTCAGCGCTCTAGTCCAGCTGGCCTTTAGGAGCCTTGTTCAAGAAACCCTCGTTTAGGAGTTCCCAGAAAACAGGTCCACAGTGGGCTGAGGTGGGTGGCGTCGCTGCTCCTTTTGGATCACAGTTTAAAAAGTAAGACTATCCTGTGCTTCGAGCAATGTGTTCACCTCCCCTGGGCCTTGTGAAATTAGAACCCGATGATAAACTTTTGTCCTGATGCTTTCAAAGCTGGCATTGCTTAGAGTCTGGGTTCTCAGCCAGGGGATGATTTTTCTCTCCCTGGGGTCACTCAGCAATTCGGGAGATGTTTTGGGTCGTCACATCTAAGGAGAGGCAGTGCTTCTGGAATCTACCGGGTGGAGGCCAAGGATGCTGCTAAACATCCTGCCGGGCACAGGTCAGCCCCATCTGAAAGCCTGACCTGGCCCTCGGGGAGAGACCCCGCCTTATAAGGACCGAGTCCAGAGTCCCTGTGTTGCAGAGTGTTGAACGTTCTCAGGCAGGTTTGCCTGTGACGAAAATCATCTTGGGATCTTACCCACTGTTGAGTGGAATGGAATCCCCATGCTGGGAGACACACATTGCCAGCCTGGGGTTCCAGATTAGCCGGCCTCTAGGCAGACCTGTGGTCCATCAGCCCAAAGGAGCCCGTTTTAGGAATAGCTCCGGGTACCCACCTCTGGGACTTGTGTGGTTTCCGTGTGAGGGATCCCTGAGACCAGAAAGCAGTGTGGATTTGCGCACTGTTGTAAGACCAGTACTGTCTACACTTGACCAACACCGCCTTCCTCTGGTTGGGACCTTCCAAGACAAAGGATGAGAAGCCAGTGTCAACCCAGATGTCGGGGTGCATGGGGTTGACAGTGATTGGCTGGCATGCACGCCAACAGCTGCGGCTCCGGAATGGCAGGGAAGGCGAATTTGGTTCCGTCCGGTTCTCTGGGCCTTTGGGTGAAGATGCCGACTCAGATCTGGATAGGGTTTTACAAGGTGACCAAGGAAAATGAACACGTGGATTGTGTGTTTCCCCAGAAGCTCTAACACACTCAGCACGTGCTATGTGGGAGGCCCTGGGGGTCAGCGGGAAGCCATATGGAAAGATTCTGTCCTAAAGGAGGTCCTGCTCCCACGCTGCAGAGGGACAGGCCACATGGGAGCCCAGAGGCGTTGTGTACTCAGGTCGGTGTTGGGGTTAGGACACAGCCCGAACTTGGGGTGATTGTGTGCTCCAGATAGTACGATTACGTACTCAGGATTGTTGCACGCTCTGTGCACTGCTGGGGCCAGACACTGTACAAGGTTCCCCAGGGTCACTGCACCCTCTGGTCGGTGCTGGAGCCGGACACCGCCATCACGTAGGGAGCAAGAGTCTGCCCGTGCTCTAGACGGTACACGCCCATCCCAGCGTCGCTGTTCGCTCCGTTTGCTGTTGGAGTCGGACAGAGCGCTTAGGACACTGGGTCGGTAATGTTCTGGTCAGTGCTGGATCCAGACAGAACATCCGTGAGACCCGGGGTCACTGCCTGCTCCAGACGGAGCAGTGACATACCCGGGCATGGGTGCGCGCCCTGTGCGTGGCTGAGGCCAGACACCGCACTAGGAACCGGTCATTGCAGGCACTTGTGCTGGTGTCCGACAGGAGATAGGGCCTCAGGGTCGTTCCTAGTGCCGCTCGTTGCTGGATCTGGCCAATGCACCTACGAAACGCGGGTCTCCGCACGCCTTCATCAGTGCTGGAGGCATGAGTCAGTGGTCTGTCCCCGGTGTCCTTGAGGCTCTGGTCAGTCCTGGGGTTGGACAGTCTCCGTGGGAAGGCGGCGTCCGTGAACTCTGGTCATTGTTCAAGCCGGACAGAGCACGGCGGGCTCCTAGGGTCAGTGCTGCGGCTGGGCGATGCCCAGGAACCCATTGTGTCTTTTGAAACACCAGATTGTTCCTGAAGTTGTAATGAAGTTCAGTTTACCAATGATTTCTGCGATGGATCATGCTTTTAGTATCTTATCCATGAAATCTTGGCCTAACCTATGATTATGTTTCCCTCTGTCCTTTTATAGTTTCACATTTAGATCTCTGACCGTCTTAGAGTTCGTCTTAGCATATGGTGTGCAGTAAAGGTATAAATTCCTCCCTTTGCGTGTGGACATGGGGTTGTCCCAGAGAGGATCTGAGAGGTGGAAGTCTCTCCTATCCTATCTCAGTGTCTGGCCGAGGTTTCTCCTCTTGCCTGTTTCCTTTGGTGCCTGCGGTTCTGCACGGTTGGAACGGGGGTGCCTTTGCACTGGACGTTGCATTGTGAGTGGGTTGAGTGGTTATGGATGAGCCCTTGTGACTTTCCACGGGAGGCTGCGGAATATGGGGGGCCGCAGCTCGGGGGGGAGGACCTAGGCCTTCGGGTCAGGTGCCCTGCGGGCGCCCTGGGCCCTCTCCCGCCTGGCTGTGTGACCTGGCGCATGTTCCTTCTCCTTCTGCAAGGTCAGCTATCCCGTCTGGAAAGCGGGATAATGACACTTCTCTTCCAGAAGTGTCTTCACAGTCACACTGACGATTTTCAGAGAGGGCTGTTGTGATTCCATTGTTCACCCAGCTTTTCCTGTTTCGGGCCGTTTTGTTTGTTTTCGGGATTTTGTTCTTAAAATTAATGCTGCAGGAAGCTCCTCGCTTCTTTCCACTGGGTTCTGGAGTCTGGCCAAATCCTGGTCTCTCACTGACTTGGGCCCATGACCTGGCTTCTCCAGGGCTTCCCTTCTGACTCTGTAGGTGGGAGACATTAGCACTTCTCGCAGGTGGCCGTGAGGCTGCAGTGGGATCCTGCCGGTTCCTCAGCCTGCAGGGGACAGTGTTTTAGACTATGGGTGCGGCATGTACACAGGTGGCAGAAGGAGGCGAGGAAAAGGGCCAGAGACCAGAATGCAGAGATCTCAGGGGGTGTGGTGCTGGGCGGATCCAGAGAGGCTGGATTCTTATCTAATTGGGGGTTTCAGAGGGGAAGAAGCCCATCTGTGGTCTCCAGGGGCTCCCAGGTCTGCGAGGGACACAGAGGCATAAAGTGACAATGCCATTAGGGTGTGGCGGGTGGCAATGAGGCCGGTGGGTCCGAAAGGCCCGGCCTTCCCCGCGCTGTCCTCTCCTGCAGGGACTATCTGATCACCGCACCCTTGGTCTTCTGCTCTGGAGTGGAGGAAGTCATCAGCGTGACCGTCTTTAATGCCCCAAGAGAAGTCACGGTCCAGGCTCAGCTGGTGGCTCGGGGTGAGGCAGTGGCATGGAACCAGGGAGCCGTCCTGGGTAGGTCCCTGGGTGCCTGATCAGGGCGTCCTCTCCCTTTGCAAAGTGGCCCTCAGGGCTTGGCAGTCTGGGCACGTCTTGGCTTCCCTCCCACCCCACCTCTCCAGAACCCCCGCAGGGAAGGGGGGCAGGCCGCGTTCTCTCTGTTTTACAGATGGAGAGAGTAAGGCCCAGGAGGGGCAGCCACTGCCCCGCCTGGGAAATCCTCGGCAGCCCAGGTTCTGTGGGTGCAGGTCTGGATGGAGTCAGACACCCTGCCATGTCAGCTTTGGCTGAGGTGGGACGGGGCCCAGAGGGAATCTCATGACCATTTCAGACCTTTCCTTGAGCTTCTGTCACCCCTGTGGTGTTGACCCTGACCTGGGCTCAGGGCCGGCCTGTCACTGAGTGAGCTCAGGCCTAGCCAGCCTCTCCCCTGCTCTCCTTGGTCAACTGCAGGTCACAATAGTGCTGGCCTCCGGGACTCAGGTGGCGAGAGCAGGGCCCTGCCTCGGGGCCTGTACTCTGCGGGGCAGGCAACTCAGTCCTCATGCAGAGTGTGATGCGGCCGCAGGAGACAGAGAGATGATGGCGGGGCGTCAAGGCCAGCGAGGCAGCACCTGTCCCCTGGGAGACAGGGAGAGGCTGGCCCAGAGTGGGCACTAGGAGAGGAGCTCAGGCGGGCAGGAGGAGTGCAGGGGTCCCGAAACCCACATCAGGTTGGCTTCCACAGCAGAGAGTTTATGGGCTCTCGTTACTAGAAAAGTCCACTGGCATCACTGACCCATCTCCCAGCCCCATGTCTGCATGGGCCTGTGTCTCCCCAAACCTCAGAGGGAGTGCCAGGTTCCCAGGATCTCTGGGAAAAGCCCCAGGATTCCCTCTGATTGGCCCCATGTGCTCAACCCTGAACCAATCACTGTGACCAGGGGAAGGCCTTTGTAGATTTGCCCAGAGCCCCAAGAGAGATGGGCAAAGCCCCACCAAACCTCATGAACTGTGAACTGGGCAGGTGGCTCCCCCAAGGAAATTGGGGTTCTGCTGGCAGGAGATGGGGGAATGGACACTGGGAGGCAAAAACAGTAGATCCTAATCAAGTCTTGGAGGCCAGAGAGCCTGGACAGGTGTCAGAATGGCAAATGATTCAGTTTGGGTAGAAGAGAGAGGGGATGGGAGACTAGTTAGATCCACTGAAGTGAGGTCCACTGGGGACCTCAGTCGCTTCTTCTTTCTCTCCACCCTTCCCCTTGTTCCTTTCCCCTCGAGTTTTCTCTTTGCTCCCCTCACAGCTTACCTTGGTCAGGGGCCGGGGATGAAGTGAATTAAGTATGCAGGCCAGCCAACTTTCCCCTGAATAGCTCAGCTTTGTCCATCCTCTCCGGCCTTCAGCTCTTGCCAGCTCGGAGGAAACCTCTCACTTCTGCCAATCCCGGCCCGGCCCAGATCGGACCAGCGTGACCCAGGATGTGTGTTTGGCTACAGAAAATCCCTCTGGGTTGAGAAAGCCCCTGTTTGTAAGGCTGTAGCTCAGGGAGGCAGGAAGGCACAGCTCCCAATTTAACTGTTTTCATTTTTTTTCATGTTTTAGATAAAGGGACACTCAAACTCAAGGTAAGCTATGAATTTTTAGAGTCATAAACCCTACCTTGGAAATAAAGAATTGAACTGGAATGGAACAAGAGAAGTTGCATGTATTTTGAGAAAAATCATTAGCAGTGACATAAAAAAATGAATGATGAAGAAAAGTTTAGAAAAGGAAAAAACTCATCCATAATCCCACACTTTTCACTTTTTCTTCTTTCCTGTAAATCCTTGTCCACATAAAGACATTTTCTTTCATAGTTGCGATTAAAGGGTGTTTCCTGCTATTTTCTCTTAACACGTTGATGGACGCACTTCCATGTCTCTGTCTCTGTAACTGTAATTTGCATCCTGTTGAAAACAGCATCCTATCACACATCTTTGTACACTAATTTATTAACCCTCCCACCTCGTAGGTGGTTGGATTTTTTCAAGATTGTTTTCAGGGTTTTGATAATGTACTCTGAAAGCTGTGGGCGTCTGTGGGCATGAAGCTGTCCTCGCATTCTGGATGCCTGCTGTAGGCTGAACACCCCGAGGGAGGAGTTATGGGGTCAGGACCCAGGCCTCTCACTGGACCCTGCTTTGTCTTAGCAGACGCTGCAGTGCGCACGCACGGCACCCCCGTGGTACGTTAGAGACCTCACTTCCCCGAATCCTTGCTGGCATCGGATATTGTGATTTTAAAATTATTTTACGTACCAAACTACACTGTAGGTGATTCTCTGACGTGGGTTTTTAAGTTGGAGGCTTTGGATTTCAAGAGGTTCGCAAGGCGTGAAATTGTAGGCGTTTCTGGGTTAGCTGTTCCTTAACTTTTACTGGGTGCTCAAGAGAGTCCCTGAGTGAAGGGGCTGAATGGAGAATCGTTCTAAACCCTCCTGCGCCTTCCCCAGGATCCGAGTGAAGTCTGCGGGGCTCCTCCTCCGAGGGGTGGGTCATTAGTGCCTACGTGCTGTGGGACAGAGGTCTTCCTGCTCTCTTGTCAGTGGTGGGACCCTTTCTCTAAGGTGGCAGTTCCTACTTGGGAGGGATGTGTCGTGTCCCCCCGGCCCAGGATGTTTGGCAGCATCTGGAGACATTTCTGGTTGTCACGACTGGGGTGGGGGTGCTTCTGGCGTCTGGTGGGTGGAGGCCGGGGTGCTGCTTGGCACCCCGCAGTGAGGGGACGCCCCCGCAGAGTGAGCGGTCCTGAATGTCAGTGACGCTGGGGTTGAGGACGCTGCTCTGTGGAGCTGTGGTGTGGGCGTCAGACAAGGGCGTAGCTGCTCCTGGGGCGCAGGAACCCCCCCCCCACACCCACTCCCTGGCCCTGCCTGACCTGCGAGCTTCAGGTACACGTTTTGGAAGCCAGTGCTATGGGGACCCAGCGTTGGCATTGGCTGCCGTGTGTGGGCCCTGCGCAGTCTGAGCCTCATCCTTTTCATGTGTGCAGCAAGGATGCTGATTAGAGGCCCTTGGTGGATCTTTCTAGAAAGCATACCTAAAACCTCACGATGGCTTGTTTTATTCTGATTTTTCAGACTTACCAGTGCATCTGTGTAACAAATGTCTCTTAAGCGTCTCTTAAGTCCCGAGCACGAAGTTGGACATGCTCCCTGCTCTCTCAGCCACCAGCCTTGTTGGTAGTGGGTGAGGGGTACGTCAGGCAGGAAAACCCCAATTACATAAATGTGGCCACCTCAGAGAGTAGTAAATATTCTACTTTATTTTAAAATTTGTCAGAGAAAGGGAAAGAGCGTTGAGGGGGCCACATTTTATATGGCAGGGAGGGCCCCTCTGAGCTGAGACCAGAAGGAACCAACATGCAGGCATCTGGGGGAAAGGCATTCCAGACAGAGGGAACAGCCAGTGCAAAGGCCCTGGGACAAGAAGGAGGACGAGAGAGGCAGCCAGTGGCCTGGAGAGGAGCCAGCCAGGAGCTCCTGGAAACAGTGGCAGGGAGACTTCCAAGCCGTGGCATCAGCCCTCACCTGAACTCCTCTGCCTGGCATAGCTTCCATCTGGGAAGGCATCCTGACACCTCTTGCCACCACCCGTGGGTGACTGCTGTGTGTCCCATGCCCCTCGTACTGTACTCATGACCACTTATCAGCACGACAGCGCATCCCTGTGTTACAGAAGAGCACCTGGAGCCTCTGAGGGTCCAGCACATCTGATTGCTTCTCTCTCGGCACACTCGGTGGATGCCCACAGAACCCCGAAGTCTGGGACCCATGCCCAAAGCTGAGGGACCTCCCTGGCCTGGCGGGGCAGGGCACTGGCATTATCCGGGGTGGGGGACAGGCCCGTGGTAGAACTGGCACCTCCAGACAGCCTTCCCTGGAGGAGGGGGCCCAGGGAGCCTCTTCCTGTAGTCGGGCCGCAGGCCCCCTGCCTTCGCTCTTGGTCTCCGGGGACACCGACTTTTCCTGGCCGCCTCCCTGACGAGCCTGTCATGTCTCCCCTGCTTGGATCTCGGCGCCTGAGTCCTTGGCTGTCACTGATGTTAAAGGAGCAAATGTGGGTCCTTGAGGTGGGGCTGGGGATCAGCTCAGTCTAGAACCTTCCGGAAAGACCTCGGAGGGCCGGCAGGTGCAGGACCAGGTAGGACTGCCGCTTTGTGCTGAGGAGACTTGGTTGGAAATGGCAGCTCTGCAGCCTTGGTGACCTGGGGTGAGTCACTTCATGTCCCCAAAGGCCACGACTGGGGACTCAGCACCTCCCAGCACCTGGTGCTGTGGACCCCCCAGGAGGAGGGGACCAGCCACGCTGACCTCCAGCCTCTAATCCTCCGCTGCCTCCCCGAGAGTGGGCCCTGTTCTCCCCAGCCCGGACACTGTGAACAGAGGGAGGCAGAGGGAGCCCAGCGCGGGTTCGTGGTTGGTTTTTCCTAGTCTTCACTCCCTGTGGGAGGCAACGCCTTCCTTGGAAAGGGGTGAAGTTCTTCTGGGGGCTGCAATTTGGGGCCTCCTTTCTGTTCTCAGGGGCGGCCCCTTGTCTCCCAGCACCTCTGGCCCCAGCACACGGTCCTCCACCGCCCCTACCAGCTCCCTCCTACCTGTCCAGGCCCCTTCTCCTGGCTGCCTGGAATCTTTTCCTCCTTGAACAAAGGTCTCTGGCCTATGCTAAGAGGTTTCCAGAAACAGGGGCAGGTAAGGATTTTTGGATTGGAGTAGGGGTGAGGTTTAGCCTCAGATTGGTCCTGAGGATAAATTGCACTCAGGAGCTACCCACAGGCCTGAGAAGCCCCACCCTGAGAGTGGTGGGCAGGCAGGGCCCCTCTGATGCTGTTCAGAGCAGACAGGAGGAGGCGGCTGGAGGGAGGGAGGGTCCTGGCACACCCCCACCTCATCTGTGAAATGGGTATGGTGGCCTGATAATTCAACAAAACTTAGCGTGGTTGTTTGCTGTGATGTGACGAGGGTCTTTTCACATCTCGGGGGACCACGTGGGTGGATGCTGACAAATGAGTCCCCGGGAGAGGAACACCCCACATTTGGATGGTCTTCAGGACGGGTGGTATGTGTAGCTCCCCGTGTGAACTGCTGATCGTGTAATGTGCACCCGCCAGGCGCACAGGGGTGGCCACGAGTGTTGCTGTCCTGGCACAGGGTCACGTCCGGGGAGGTGTGACTTGTTGGCGTTCATCATGAAAGGAGCCTCTGTAGTTATGACCCACATGCGTGGGTGTTCTGCTTCTCGCTCTCAAAAAACCAGAGGGAATTATATAGGATAGGTTCCATTCCCTGAATGTTGGAAATTTTGCCCTAAAAAAGCTTGAACTCCAGGGTGGATCCTTAAGACTCTGCAGTAGCTTTTGTTTTTTCCATCTATGTGGCAAAAAATAATTTTTTGTTTACTACTTTAACCATTTTAAAGTGGACAAATCAATGGCATTTAGCACATTCACAATGTTGTGCAACGATTACTTCTATCTAGTTCCAGAGCATTTTCATCACCCCAAAAGGAGACCCCGTTCCCAAGAGCAGTCACTCCCCATCCCCCTCCCCCAACCCCTGACAACCACCAATCTGCTTCTGTCTCTATGGATTTGCCTGTTCTGGACGGTTCACATAGATGGATCATACAATACATATGTGCGGTGTTTACAAAGCATAGAGGCACATAGATCATGTGTGTATCCTGTGTGTGTATATATGGTATATATACATATACGTATATGCGCTGTCAGCCCTGGAGGTCTAGTGGTTAAGATTCGGCATTCTCATGGCTGAGGTCCGGGTTTGTGTCCCGGTCAGGGAACCACACTGCCCGTCTGTTGGTTGTCATACTGTGGCGGCTGCGTGTGGCTGTGATGCTGAAAGCTATGCCACCGGGATTTCACATACCAGCAGGGTCCCCCGTGGTGGACAGGTTTCAGCGGAGCTTCCAGAATAGACAGACTAGGAAGAAGGACCTGGCCAGCCACTTAACGAAGAAATTGGCCATGAAAACCCTATGAATAGCAATGGAGTGTTGTCTGGTAGAGTGCTGGAAGGTGAGAGGATGGTGTAAAAAGACCAGGCAGGGTTCCGCTCTGCTGTCCGCAGGGCGCTAGGAGTCGGAATCGACGGGACAGCCTGACAACGACATGTACGTGTGTATATGTGTGTGTATATATGCATAAACGTGTATATCTATATGAAGGGGCTGGGGTCTCCATCCTCTGCTCACTGGCTTTTTTTTTTTTTTGTGAGGGAGATCAGCCCTGAGCTAACATCCCTGCTAATCCTCCTCTTTTTGCTGAGGAAGACCAGCTCTGAGCTAACATCTATTGCCAATTGTCCTCCTTTGTTTTTTTTTTTTTTTTTTTTTTTTTCCCAAAGCCCGAGTAGATAGTTGTATGTCATAGTTGCACATCCTTCTAGTTGCTGTATGTGGGATGCCGCCTCAGCATGGCCGGAGAAGCGGTGCGTCGGTGCGCGCCCAGGATCCGAACCCGGGCTGCCAGTAGCAGAGCACGAGCACTTAACCACTAAGCCACGGGGCCGGCCCCTCTGCTCACTGGCTTTGACTGCTTTTGGGCAAGATGAGAGACAATTCTTGTGACTCTACAGGGGTGAGGATAGCTTTGCAACTGCAGTCAGGAGGAGAAGTTCTGTGAGGTCAGGCTAGACCAGCGTTTCTCAGTCCCTGCGCTTGTTGACATTTGCGGTGGGGCCTCCAGGGCACTGCAGGGTGTTGAATAGCATCCCTGGCCTCCACCCACCAGAGGCCAGGAGCACTCCCTTCCTCCTAGCTGTAACACCCAAAAACGTGTACCAGAAATTGTCAGATGTTTCTTGGTGTGTACACCAGTTGCCTCCAGGTGAGAAGCCCGACCTAGACCTCCACACTGCTTTCCTAACACCTGGGTCCCTTCCAGGGTGACACCCCCTCCCAAAGCTCTGTGCTCTGCCTGCAGGTGCCCACGGGCCTCCGGGGCCAGGCCCTCCTGAAGGTGTGGGGCCGTGGCCGGCGGGTGGAGGAGGGTCCCCTCTTCCACAACCAGACCTTGGTGACCGTGGACAGCCAGGGCGCCTCGGTGTTCATCCAGACGGACAAGCCGGTGTATCGGCCCCAGCACCAAGGTGGGCGGCTGGTGTGGGCCAGGGGAGGGCCGGCCATGGCCTGGAGCTGCCACACGCCTCTCTCCTTTCTTCCAGCGCTCATCGGTGTCTTCGCAGTCACCCCGGGCCTGAGGCCTGTCAGCGAGAAGGTGAGATCGGCTTCTAAAACTCTGCCTGGAGCACACCACTTGAGACCAGCTGGCCAGGGCCACCGTCAGCCACCGATCTTTCTCTTCAGCTCCTTCCAATCTCTACTTCCGTCTCGATTTCTTCCTGGGGCTCCATGTCCTCTGGGGGACCCAGGGGGAGGTCTTTGTGACAAAGGGCTGCAGAGCACTGGTGGGCGCACTGCTCTGTGATGAGGAGGCACCAGTGGCCCTGCAGTGCCCAGCGCCCCTCTGTGCAGGCTCCCGGCTGTGGATCATCATTTGAAATCCTAATAACCTGCATTTGTTTAACATTTATTAGAAAGAAAATATAACTGCCACATCAAACCCATCAATTGTCCTTCCAAATAAACATTTTTACATAAAAAGAGCATTGGTTTTCTTTTAATGTTTTATTTGGAAATAACTTCAAACATACAGAAAAGTCAGAAGAACAGCACAGAGAGATCTCATGCACCCTTCACGCGGCCGAGTCGGCAAACTTCCTGTAAAGGGCCAGGGAGTAAATCTGTGTGCATCCTCAGGCCATGTAGGTTCTGTCGCAACTACTCAGATCTGCTGTTGTCCCACAGACTCAGCCGTAGACAATGCTTGAATGCATGGGTGTGGCTGGTGCCAATAAAGCTTTATTTACACAAACAGGCAGAGGGCCAGATTTGGCCCAAAGGCCGTAGTTGGCCAAGCCCTGAGTGCAGCAGTGGTTCTCAAACTTTGATGTACAGCAGAATTACCTGGTGGGCTTGTTCACACACAGATTACTGGGCCCTCCCCAGAGTTTTTGCTTCAGGAGTTTCTGGGGAGAGGCCCAAAGATCTGTGTTTATAACAAGTTCCCAGTTGCTGCTGCTACTGCTGCTCTGGGGAACACACTTTGAGAACCATAGATCTGGATTCATCAATTACAAACATTTTACTACATTTATGTGCTTTCTCTTTGTGTGTGTACATATATGTAGATATGTACATATATGTAGATATGTATATATAATATACACTTATAAAATTATTTTAGTGATGTCATTTTAAAATAATTTGCAGATCTCACACCTCTTTACCCAGAACACCTCCGCCTGTATCCTTTAAGAAGAACGTTCTCTTATACAACCAAAATACAATCATCACATTTAGGAACTCTGACATTGATACAACAATATTATCTGATATAAACCCATGTTGTTCCGATAATGTCCTCCGGAGCATGTTTCTTTGCTGGTCCAGCGTCTCATCCCGGACCGCATGTTGCACTTAATTGGCATGTCTCTTGGCGTCCTGTAATCTGAATCAGTTCCTTGGCCTTTCTGCTTCTTTCACGGCATTGCCCTTTTTGGAGAGTCCAGGCGGTTGTTTCCAGGAACGCCCCCCAGCGGGCTGGCCTGTTGGTTCCTCGTGACTGGGGTCAGGTTGTGTATCCTGGTGCGGGGTCAGCAGGAGCCGTGCTGGTCCTCCCGGCGCGTCGTATGGGAGGCCCTGACATTATTTTGTCCCATTGCTGGTGATGTAACTGCAGCCAGTGGTTCCCGTAGAGTCGGCGTGGCTTCTCCCACACGAAGTCCCTGTTTCCCCTTTATAATCAACACATAATCTGTGGGGGATGCATGAGGCTCTTTGGACGCCCTGTCACCCACTAGACGCTCGCCCGCTAGTTCTAGCATCCACAGGTGATTCCAAAGTTATGTGAATCAAAACTTGCTGCGATGATTACAACGTGGTGATGTTTCCAATTCTGCTGTTTCTTCTACATTTGTTTGTTGGCATGCTGCTGGAGAAGGAGCTTTCAGAAAGGCACTGATTGTAAAGAAAAGGATTTAAGTCAACTGTACATGTACGCAGCAAAGATGTGAATGTGGTCTGCGGGCACTTCGGTGGAGGGAACCCCGAGGGGACACGTGTACAGGGCTTACTACCTGCGGGCGGTTCTAGCGCTGGGGAACATCACTGAGCAGGGCAGACACGGACGCCCCCGCAGCAGGGCTCCTGTTCTAGAAAATAACCCTGCCGAGTTCCCCGGTGGGCGGCCAGCCTGGAAGCTCAGTTCTGGGGGTACATGCAGCTTTTTCTTAACTCCCATCATCCCAACTTTCTGTGCTGCTCTTTCATTGGATATTTTTAAGTCGCCCATGTTTTGGTGCAGCCTTGTAAACTCACCTTGGTGCCTGAGTTTCTTCTGCCAGAGCAAAGCTTCGTACTTAACCACCCCTCCTGGCGGACATTTGCTTGTTTCCAAGTTTCAGCTGTTGTCAGAAGTGCGTCCGGGCTTGTCTTTATGTTTGAACCTTCTTTTCCACTGGGTTGTCCTTCCTCAGGCCCAGGAGTGGGATTCTGGGGTCCACAGCCGGGGTGGTGTTGAAGGCCCTGGGGGTGTGTTTTGCTTTCTGGGTGGACGGTGCTGAGTCCCTGTGCCCAGATGTTGGGGGGCTGTGCGCCCTCAGCCTTCCCCGAGGAGGGAGATGGCTCCGTCATTGACACTGGCTCCTGCCTCCTGTGCCATTGTTGCCCGCAAGGGCTTGATGCACCTGACAGAAGGACAAAGCCTGGGATTTGTGCGGTGGCCCGTTTTCCTCTCGAGGTTGGCTGAGGGCCTGTGCTGGGTGAGGCCCAAGAAGGAGAAGATCATAAGAAATTGAGTCCAAAGGGCAAGGCTTCCAAGTGCTTCCGGGCTCAACGTGGACACCCCTGGATGCACAGGCAGCCCTGAGCGGAGGGGGACGGATCCACGTGCACAGGGTCAGCCACAGGTGGGGACCAAGGCGGGCCACGCTGTGGGGTTCAGGAGGCACAGTCGTAGACCTCCACCCAGAGCTCTGTGCTCCGAGTCAGCAGTGACTATCCAGTTGGGCATTGATGGCCCCTGCTAGATGCCAGGCTTCAGGCTTGTGCTGGGGGGTCAGGGGTGAAAACACCCGTTCCCGGCCTTCGAGAAACCTGGCATGGGCTGCCTGAGAAAAGACTCTAATGGCAGCCTGGGGGGACTGCCTGGAGGAGCCGTCCCTGGTTGGGGTGGAAGGGAGTCTGGAAGGGGGAGCAGGGCCGTGACTGGGAGCAGGGAGCACAGAGGCCCTGAGACAGGGCTGGGCCACCCTCGTTGCCAATGGTAACTGTATGAATTTGCTGGGTGACTTAACAGAAATTTATTCTCTCCCAGTTCGGGAGGCCAGAGGTCCGAGGCCAGAGGTCCAAGGTCAGGGTGTGGGCAGGGCTGGTTCCGTACGAGGGCCACGACGGAAGCCTCCGTTCAGGCCTCTCTCCTTGGCTCATAGCTGGCTGTCTTCTCCCTCTGTCTTCACGTCGTCTTCCCTCTGTGCGTCTCTGTGACTGCAATTGCCCCTTCTTACAAGGACCCCAGTCCCCTTGGATTAGGATCTGCCCTAATGATCTCACTGTAACTGGATTACCTCTGTGAAGACCCATCTCCAAATACAGTCGCATTCTGAGGCCTGGGGCGTAGGACGGGACAGACGAATCTTGGGATGAGGAGACACGGTTCAACCCATCAGAGCACCCGTGCCTGTCCCGGAGGAACAGGCCATGCGCCGACAAAGACCCAGGGCACGGAGGGCGGGCTGGGCTCGCGGGGGTTTGCTCACTGCTCTGTCTGTCTTCGTTGCAGCTGGAAGCCTACATCCTGGTGAGTGGCCTGCCCTCCTCGGCTCTGACTTGGGAACACTAGCCTGCCCTCTGCAAGACCCGGTCTCTGTTCACTCACCGGCCTTCCCTGCCCTCTGGGTGGTCTCCCCCTGCCCCAGCATCTCACAAGACTGGGACCCGGTCCCTCCCGGTTCCCGGGTCCACCCTGGGCCAGGCCAAGCATGCGTCTGTCTGTCTCTGTAGATTTGCACACAGGTCCCTAATGCTGAGGCCCCTTCCTCCCGTGTCCTCAGACACATCCCTTTGATGCCCTGAGCTTCTGTTTGCCCCCGTGTGAATGGCTAATCTTGGGGCCTGCCCTCCATGCTCACCCTGCCCTAGAGCGAGGGTTCGGAAGGTCGGCGCCTGCCTGGCACACACCCGCTGCCGTGGTTTACCGTGCGCATCCGTCCCCTGCAGGACTCCCAGGGCTCGCGGGTGATGGAGTAGAGACACTTGCAGCCCTTCAGCTGTGGTGAGTCTCCTGCTGTCCTCTCCCCTCTCCCTTCTGCGGTTGGGGGCTGCACCTTCGCGTGGCAGATGTGATAGACCTTCCAGGAAAGTAGAATGTGCTCTGTCTGGGGACCCGCCGCCCCTGCTCTGCAGCGTTGGACCCTCTGCCCACGTTTCTCTGTGCCTAGGATCCAGCTGGGCACCTGCCTGCAACTTGAGACCTTTCTAGAATATCAGGGTCTCGTCTGTCGGGTCTCCCCTTCCTCCCACTGCAGGTCTTCCACCTCATCATCCCCTTGGGGGCTCTGGACCCCCTGTGCCTCTGTGAGCTGGATGCAGAGTTTGAGGTCTCCAGCAGGCCCGTGGACCGTGGCCTTTGTGCAGTGTCACACCTCTGGGTCCCCTGCCTGGCCTTGACCCCTCCCCGTGTCTACTCCCCTCCTCCTGATTCTGAGATGCCTGGGGACGGCTGGCAACTAGGGACAGGGCTTGTCCAGCTCTCCTACCTTAAGTGCTGAGCTGGGGGCCGCACGCGGGGCTGTTGGGGAGTAGGGTGATGGTGGAGCCAGGGGTGGGGCTCACGGCGATCTCTTGGTGACCCGCCTTCCTCTGCCTCCTCGCCTGGCCCTCAGCCTCCTTTCTTCCGCTTCCTCCTCCCTTCCTGCCCGCCTCCCTCCCTCCCTCTCACTAGCATTCTCTCTTCCTACCAGCAGATATTTGATGGGCACCAGAGTAGATGCTGACATGGGGTGAGCTTTAAGCCCATGGGGGAAACAGACATTAACTAAACCACAAGGATAACATCAGCCATGATGAGTGCTAGGAAGGAGAAATAGAAACTCAGAGAGGGCAAAACAGGGTTTTCACCCAGCCTGGGGCAGCAGAGGCAATCCTGGAAGGCTGCCTGGAGGAAGAGCCTTTCTAGCAATGAAGTGGAGATGGCACAGAAGTTAGCCAGGCAAAGCGAGGGGCCAGGAAGGGTGTTCCAGGCAGGGGCCCAGCATGTGGGCAGCCCTAGGGATGTCAAGGAGACTGCGGGCAGGAGGGAGGCTCCAGGTGTGGGGAGTGAGAGGAGCAGCAAGACCCCTAGGGCCCTGTAGTCCACAGGGAAGTGTAGGGACTTGATCCCAACAGCACAGAGGAGGCAAAGGCCAGCCTCCTGTTTGAAAAAACCACTTGGGATATGTATAGACCGGGAGTTCTCAACGGGGCAATTTCCTCCCCCTCCCAGGGGACCCTGGTGATACTGGCTGCAGGCTTATGAAGCCCCGTGGAAACTGTATGCTGGCCACATACGCCCCAAAAGTCCTCTAACTGTCAAAGGCTCAGCTTCTCAGACTATCTGAGGCAACACGCGTTTTAGCCCTCACATCTTGCCATTCCGGCGCGGCAGGTGGAAGCAGTGGGCCCGCTGTAGGCTCCGGGCTCTATTGGGAGCCCGGGGCGCTGCCCTCACGATAGGACCACTCAGGAGCAGAGATCCCCCAGCTCTGCCCGAGCAGTGCCTCGCTGAGCTGCTTCCTAGGAGGCCAGTGTGAAATCCCGCCCTGACGCTCCCTCCTCCCGCAGAGAGCAGCTCCCGCCGGGCTCCAGGCGCCGACCTAAACCACAGACTGCGCCCTGTGCAGAGGCTGGTGGTGTTTCTGGGGGCTGTTGGTGGGGGGCCCTGCTCTGCTCTGAAGCGGGCAGAGTCCATGTGCACTCAGGGAAGCCATTACCACCCGGGGGACTCTGCCCGCAGGGGACATTGGCAATGTCTGAGCACATTTTGGGTTGTCACAACCTGGGGGGAGGATGTTACTGGTATCTAGTGGGTGGAGGCCAGGGATACTGCTCAACACCCCACAATTCACAGAGCAGCCCCCCAGCCCTGAATGTCGGCCGTGTGAGGTTGGGAGTGCCTTGGGTGAGGAGCAGAGTAGATGAGTGGGCAGCCTGTCTCCCTGCCTGGTCCAGCTCGTTGTCTGACCTCGCCTTGGCCGCAGGGCTCCCCCAGGAACCCGAGGTGCAGCCTCTCCCTGTGTTCTCTCTTTAGCCTGGCGGGCTGCTCGTTCTGCATGGACCCACCAGCATCCGCATCGGCTCCAGCTTTCCTGAGGGGCTGCCTGGGGCAGGGGGAGGTGTAGGGTCCCCGGGGCGCCTCTGCACGTGCACTTGCCCCAGGGTGAGGGCCCATCTCTCTTCACACAGGCATCATCAACGTGACCTTCCCCTTGTTGGACCAGCCGGTGCTGGGAGAGTGGTTCATTTTTGTTGAAATGCGAGGCCCCGTGTACAATACAGCCTTTGAAGTTCAGAAGTATGGTAAGTCAGAGAATCTTAGGATCCTAGGAGTTGAGATCTGGGAGAAACTGCAGACTCAGTGATGACACAGATGATGAGGTGGAGGACAGGGGTGCCATTCACTGAGGGCTCAGTACGGCCAGGCAGGGTGTGGAGGGCTTGTCATTTCCTTTTTTAAAAAAATTGTCATAAAATATACATAATGAAATTTATCGTCTCAGCAATTAAGTGCACAGTTCAGGGGCTTTAAGTACATTGGGATTATTGTGCAACCCTCCCCACCATCCATCCCCAGATCTTGTTCATCTTCCCAAACTGAAACGCTGTCCCATTAAACACTAACTCCCCCTCCCCTCCCCCAGCCCCTGGCGCCCACTGTTCTACTTTCTGTCTCTGTGAATCTGACTCCTCTAGGGCCCTCGTATAAGTGGAATCACACAGTACGTGTCCTTTGGTGACTGACTTCTTTCACTGAGCGTAATGTGCTCAAGGTTCATCCATGTTGTAGCAGGTGTCAGGATTCCCTTCCTTTTTTTTTTTTTTTGGTGATGAAAATCAGCCCTGAGCTAACATCCACACCAATCCTCCTTTTTTTTTGTTTTTTTTTTTGCTGAGGAAGACTGGCCCTGAGCTAACATCCATGCCCATCTTCCTCCACTTTATGTGGGACACCGCCATAGCGTAGCCTGACAAGCGGTGCGTCGGTGCGCGCCCAGGATCCGGACCTGGGCCGCCAGCAGCAGAGCACGCGCACCTAACCGCTAAGCCACGGAGCCGGCCCCAAGAATTCCCTTCCTTTTTAAGGCTATCATTTCCTTCTGTTCCTTCACCCTTGTCCTGATCCTATGAGGCATTTCCATTTTACAGATGGGGAAACTGAGGCTGAGAGAGCCCTTAGGGAAATTGCTCAAGTAACAAGAGCTGGGGAGTGAACCTGGGCCAGAGCCACTTCCCGTGTGCTAAAGGTCTCCCTCACGGGGTGGTCAAGGGCCTCTCCTCTCGGGGGGAAGGCCCTGGAAGGAAGAGCTGTAGAGGTCAGGGCTGTGGGTTTCGAGCAGCAGAAGCTCAGGCAAACTCAGGAAGCCCAAGAAAAGGGATTTACGGCTCGTGTAAGAAGGCTCTCGGGACCAGGTTCTTCAGCATCCCTCCCTCCTCCTCAGGCTGCGAGTTGTGCAGGGTGACAAATGGCTGAATGCTCCCAGGACAGCAAAGAGCCACCAGCTCCAGCCACCAGCACCCTTGGGACGCCCCAGTGGGTCCAGGAGCCTGGCCACTTGTGCCCCCTGGGGCGGGCTGGAATTGGCTGCATTCAAAGCATGTGGCCTAAAACTGACGAGACGGGGCGCCTCGAGAAAAATGGGGTGCTGGCCTCCAAAGATGGGAAATATGCCGACAGTCAAAATCCCCAGAGAGTTGCCAAGGCTGGTGTGGATTCGGACGGTGCCCGGGCCGTGGCTCTGCTGTCGTGGCTCTAGCACCTTCTGCTCTTCTGAGGCCGCCCAGTGCTGGAGGCCCCCTGCCCCTCCTCTCTGCTCTCTCCCTTCAGTGTCGCCACGTTTGAACTCCTCATTCGCCTGCCCCGCTACACCCGCAACCTGGACGCCTGCGAGACCGGCACAGTGCAGGCCAGGTGAGACAGAGGGGCGCCTCCCCACTTCCCCCGAGGCCATGCCCCTCCTCCGCGGACCCCCATTTCCTGGCAGGGGTGCACCCCGCCCCGCCGCCGCAGCGAGTGAGTGGGCTCACCCGAGAGGGTTCCAGAGAAGGTTCCTGTCACGATAAGACTCTTGACCAGGCCTGGAGTGAGGGTCGACCAGAGGACGGCAGAGGCACCGTCTTCCTGCCCCCGGCCACCGCAGTCCTCCGAGGCCCCGGACCACCCCAGCTCTGCTCCCTGCTGGAGGTTGTGGCTGAAGTGACTCTTCCCGCCTGCGTCTCCTCCAGCCATGTGTGTTTTAAAATCCAAGGATTTGTTGGATGCACACACATTTTGGGGTCTAGAAAATCCTACTGCAATGCCCGGCGTTGTTTCTTTATTCACAGCAGCCTCCCAGTTTGCTCCTGTGAGCAGGCAGGACATCTGTACATTTAAGTTTCACCAACATCCCTGAGACAATAGTTTTATTCCCATTCTCTGGTTGAGGCTCGGAGAATTCAGATTGCTGGTTGGAAGTTGAACTCATTAGGGCACTTAGGCCCAGGCCTGTCTGGTGCCCACAGCTGCTCCATCCTCTGTGTTGCTCTGCTCCAATGTGTGGCCAACCCCAGTGGTTGTTTCACACACCCTGCTGCCCTTGGGTCCAGACCTTTCGGACCCTCGGTCTCTTTTTCTGTCAAACATGAGGCTTGGTACAGAGGCTCACAGTGCCCTGACATTATCTGTTCTGACTCAGGGCCACAGGGAGGGCTGCAAGGATGGAATGTAGGATGGGGAAGTGTCCCTATATCAGCCACTGTACTAATGACCACACTGCCGGGGTCCTGGCCTTCCTGAGACTGACCCTTCCCCCGCTGCCCCATGGGGGGGGTCTCTTGCTTGTGAAATTAACTACCTTTAGTTCTTTTGTTCCAGATATACCTTTGGGAGGATAAGGAATCAAGATGGCGGCGTAAGCAGACTCGGAACTCACCTCCTCCCGTGGACACAGCCAATTTACAACTACTCGTGGAAAAATTACCCCTGAGACAGAACTGAAAACTGGATGAGAGGAACTCC